CGGAACAAGTGCGTTACTGACGAATTTTATTCGAACCACAACGCTATAAATGCTTCACCCACCAGCCCGTACTCCAAACAAAGACCCAAAAGTGATTCCATGCCAACCCGTCCTCGACTCAAGTCCATTACATCCAGCGGTCGACCCCACAGACGCATTCATAAATTTTAATATGCTGTTCATTCAAAACGGGAATTTTCTCAAGTATAAATTAATATTATAATATATTAGCATATTGTGCATATATAGGCATAGGTTAGGTTAGGTTAGGTTAGGTTAGGTTAGGTTCTGTTGGCGATTATTTGTATTTGTAGTACGTGGGTGAAGCATTTATAGCGTTGTGATTCGAACAAAATTCGTCAGTGAAACACTTGTTCCGGATATGTTCGAACGTCAGCAGTTGTGAGTCGTGTGTAAACCGATTTCATTCATAAATAGGGGGTTTGGCAGGTGCATGGAATCACTTTTGGATCTTTGTTTGGAGGACGGGCTGTTCCATGCACACGCCAAACCCACTGTTTACGAATGAAAAACGGTTTACACACGACTCGTAACTGCTGATATTCGAACACTTCTGGAACAAGTGCTTCACTGACGAATTTTGTTCGAACCACAACGCTGTAAATGGAGGTGGTAGCCCTTCCCCCACGTACTATAAATACAAATAATCGCCAACAGAACCTAAACACCTAACCTATGCCTATATATGCACAATATGTTAATATAATATTAATTTATATTTGAGAAAATTCCCGTTTTGAATGAACAGCATGTAAAAGTTTATGAAGGCGTCTGTGGGGTCGTCCGCTGGATGTAATGGACTTTAGTCGAAGACGGATTGGGGTTTGGCGGGTGCATACAATGGACTTTGGCCTTTGTTTATGAGGACAGGTTGACCAACCAGCATACGACAAGGATGAAGGGAATATAAACCTTCAGATACCTTAGTGGTGCTCCAGAGAAGAGTTAAAGTCTGAGTTGGTTACTGTTATAATTTGGTACCTCATTCTTTATTTATTTTAGGAATTAGTTTATTATCATCCTGAAGTTATATACCAATTTCGGTGAAGCATTAAGTACTTTCCACACGAGGTTACTAAGTCAAGCAAAGAACATGTTTTGTAGTGGAACGGAAGTACCAGTCGGCTGATACTGGTGAGTAATCAGTCTCCGCGGCCTCTTGCACCAGGCTTAGTCAGTCCCAGGCAATCTTTACTAGTGCACTCCCACCTCCTGCCTCACAGGTTTCAAGGATCCTAGCTCCTGCCTTATTGGTTCCCAGGACTCAGCTCCCAGTTAGGTTTCAATCACTACCAGGTGTTATCCGTAAGAGTCGCGGGGCTGTGTAAAACCTGCCATACTCGTGGCAGTCGTGGGCTACCTCCTGTTGCCACTACTACTACTCTAGGTAAGTCATAGTGGTGGTTGGGTAGGTCATAGAGTGGTGAGGTAGGTCATAGTGTGGATAGATAATTGTGGTGCTGTCGGTTATAATGCTAGTGTGTGATAGCAATAGTGGTTTGTGATGAGTGCTGCTTGTGTGCTGCTTGCTGCTGAGTGCATCAGGAACCAGACCAAAAGACATAAGCGTCGTCTGTAGCCTAATGACAGATGAATATTATAAACCTGCTGAGGGCCCGGGAGTCAGGCGCTGGAGTGCCCCTCGTAGCGGTGCCCTTGGAGCTAAGCACGTCTGCCGATATATACAGATTAAGAGCAGTAAGTCTGCGTTTAAACTAGTTTATTCGCAGTATCCCCTGATGAGTCACGGGATCCAGACAAACCTCCGTGCTGCGTCGGAGAGAAATTGCTGTGAATTTATATTAGATTTTTGTTTTTTAAATGCTGCTTAATATATCATAAACATGTTTTGTCTTTTGAAATTTATATTTTATGAGATGAATGGAAAGTGGGTTTCCTTGGTGTTTGTGTGGAAGAACGCCCCTGAACCAGGGATGATATCGCCCCCTATTTCCTTTACATATGTATCTTAAAGTCTGCAGCCTCTCTGATTGACATAATCTCGGTCACAAGATGGAAATTATCTAGCATGTTACTTAAGAATATTCCTCTCCCTTTTCCCAAGACGAATTAGAGGCTATAAAACACTACAATGGAGATAGTATCAATAGCCTAGTGATTGTTGATAGCGGTGCTTGCCACCAGAGACAAACACCTCTATACCTGTGTGATTTTATGAAATGGGACACGGATGTCCTGCCTGGTATTTCAAAATTTCATTCAGACCTGCTTAATGTTAATGATAGGAAGAGGATCTGCATTAATTCGAATTTGAATTATAGGAAATTTAGTGAAGCATTATAATGGCATAGAATAACATCAGCCAGACTAACCACAACTACTCACATATAACCTGACCCATGTACTGTATATTGTATACACTAGGGGATGTATACACCAAGGGGTGTACCTCGCTCCTCTGTGTATATACAGCGGTTATTTTAATCCTGAACCATGTTCAGGACTAACATCCCGTCAAACACACACCGAAACTACGACGTTAGTACAACGTTCGAACAAGTTTTAACACCTCCTAACCAGTTATAACAACCAATATAACAATTTGTAACAACGTTCTAATACGTCATAAACACGTTAAGCCAAGATGTAACAACTTTATTACACGTTGTAACAAGCAGAAAATAGAGACAGTTACAGCTTGTGTTTCCAGGGATATACCTGCCGGTTGGCGGGTAAACTGTAGTGTCGCGGTCACAATAACGCTCAAAATATTGATAGGCCTTAACCCCAAGATATATAGTGTCCTCGTCAGCATGCGTAGGTAGTTGTTGTGGCAACTGAAGTGCTTCAGAAGTTTTTTTATTCCAGGTCGGAAATCCGCATGTTTTTGCATGAACTGTATATTTTGAGAACTTTTATAGAACAAATAAGAAATTCTCTGCATCATCGCATCATGACGGACTGTTGAGCGTGTAGGATATAACTTGCATAACTGATTATAAATACGAGGATCAGTATAATTACCTCTTATCTTTTGCCTACATTCTCATATATATATATACTTTTAAACCGGATGCTTCTCTGGGCGCCTATGTATATTTTGAGCATTGAAGTGAGTTCTTTCTTAAGACAATAGAGTTTATAAACATTTTATAAACTGTTGACCTTTTATAAACAAGGTCAACAGATCTTGCTTGAGCTTCATTCCAATGATTTTGTTATATATATATATATATATATATATATATATATATATATATATATATATATATATATATATATATATATGTATATATATATATATATATATATATATATATATATATATATATAAATAATAATAATAATTTGTGTGTGTTTTCCTGCCGGTTGCCTCAGATAATTCCCGATTATTACTTTCCTGCTGCTTTTGGGAATACTGCTGTAAATAAAGCAAAAATTGTATTTATTTTTATAGCAAACATTTGGACAAACAACTCCCTCAAGCTGAACTGTCTTACGTGCACGAATGGTTTTACAATTCTTGAAAGCTCACATAAAAAGAAAGACGTGTGTATAGTACCCTAAACAAAATGCAATGTGGTGAAATGCCTCATTGGTCAACGGGCTTGGTATTGAGAGACAGTTAAAAAGCATGTTCAGCACCCAGTGTATCTGGCGGAGCGAGACGGGCATGTTCTTCATGACTGGCACTATACCATGGGGAGGGGGTGCATGAGCGCCTGGGGCAAGGGGGCGCTCACCACTCCTGTATTGTGCAATAGCGTGGCAACCATCAACACTACCCACACTACATATGAAGGCAGTCTCGCGGACGTGATGACTGGCCTAGTTTGGTTGGCAGAACGTGCAGCGTTCCCTGAATGTCCTCCATTAATTTAATATTGTTGTTTGGTTCTAAACTAAGCTACGTATCAGATGGCGTATTCCCTCAGCCGGCGTGACGCCACAGTCACGTGTTTTAAGTGCCAAGGCAAGCAATCGAGAAGCACCATAGTGCCAACTGGGTAAACAACAGGTGCACTCTCTTGCACCTTCCACCACATCCTCCTTCAATACTGATGATTATGTTCCGTGACATTGCCCGATAATTTGTTTATAATAATCAGACGACCTGTTAGGACAATCGTCAACGGGGTATACTGTGTTGCACGCTAGATGCTCGCCCCACACGCCTCGCCCCGCACGCCTCACCCCGCACGCCTCACCCCGCACGCCTCGCCCCGCACGCCTCGCCCCACATGCCTCGCCCCACACGCCTCGCCCCGCACGCCTCGCCCCACACGCCTCGCCCAGCACGCCTCGCCCCGCACGCCTCGCCCCACATGCCTCGCCCCACACGCCTCGCCCCGCACGCCTCGCCCAGCACGCCTCGCCCCGCACGCCTCGCCCCACATGCCTCGCCCCACACGCCTCGCCCAGCACGCCTCGCCCCACACGCCTCACCCCTCACGCCTCGCCCCGCACGCCTCGCCCCACACGCCTCGCCCAGCACGCCTCGCCCCACACGCCTCACCCCTCACGCCTCGCCCCGCACGCCTCGCCCCTCACGCCTCGCCCCACACGCCTCGCCCCACACGCCTCACCCCTCACCCCTCACGCCTCGCCCCACACGTCACGCCTCGCCACAGGCTCCTCGCCCCACACGCCTCGTCCCACACGCCTTGCCCCGCACGCCTCGCCCCCACACGCCTTGCCCCGCACGCCTCGCCCCCACACGTCTCGCCCCACACGCCTCGCCCTGCACGCCTCGCCCCACATGTCTCGCCCCGCACGCCTCGCCCCGCACGCCTCGCCCCGCACGTCTCGCCCCGCACGCCTCGCCCCACATGTCTCGCCCCGCACGCCTCGCCCCGCACGCCTCGCCCCGCACGCCTTGCCCCGCACGCCTCGCCCCGCACGTCTCGCCCCGCACGCCTCGCCCCACATGTCTCGCCCCGCACGCCTCGCCCCGCACGCCTCGCCCAGCACGCCTCGCCACCCATTTCTTCAACCCAACTTAGTAATTTATGACCCACGTTCTTGTAATCAGATTTTTGTGATCCAGGCTCCTTCAGCGCCATGTCTCCCAGCCGTGTACAGGATCATCTCTATTGATTTCCAGCACTTGTATCGCCTTTAGGCTCGGTCTGACAGCTGAGTGGACAGCGCTTCGGATTCGTATTCCTGAGATTCCGGGTTCGATCCCCGGTGGAGGCGGAAACAGATGAGCAGAGTTTCTTTCACTTAAATGCCCCTGTTCACCTAGTAGTAAATAAGTACCTTGGAGTTAGACACCTGCTACGGGCTGCTTCCTGGGGTGTGTAACAAAAAAAGAGGCCTGGTCGAGGACCGGGCCGCGGGGACGCTAAGCCCCGAACTCATCTCAAGATAACTCAAGATAACCGGCTGCTTGATTTGGAACCATGTCAAATGTTGATAGAGGAAAGGTTGTCATGTCTTGTTTAGTTTCTTACTCTTAAAATTTCACCGACCACACCTGAATATGGACTCAATTACTCCCGATCATTCTCATCACGCTGAAATTACTCGCGATCGTCTCTACCACACCGGAATTACTCCCGATCGTCTCTACCACACCGGAATTACTCCCGATCGTCTCTACCACACCGGAATTACTCGCGATCGTCTCTACCACACCGGAATTACTCCCGATCGTCTCTACCACACCGGAATTACTCTCAATCGTCTCTACCACACCTGACAAAGAAGTGAATTACTCGAACCTATGCAGTGGATGTTCCCCCACACACGCTGTAGCCACTAGACCACCACATGGTATAAGGACTACAACCTGGAGTTCTACTGAACACACAAGGGTTTCCTGAGGCTTCCACTGAAGCCGGACCAGGATTTTCACACAGTCCTTCCATGCACTCTGTTCATGTACATCCAGGAATGTACTACCTCTGACGCTTGGAAGAGGAGCGTCAGAGGTAGAACATTCCTGGATGACAGCCAGAGTGCATGGGGGGATTGTATAAAAATTCTCGTCCGGCTTGAACCCGTCGCATAAATTCGAACCCTCATCACGGCTCCTACGGATTTTTCTCACTGATGCAGTCACGTTAGTGTGATTACTCTGTGTGAAGTGATTGACTTGCAGGTGTTGATGGTTGCTGGAGACGACGCAGACCCGGATGTTCCCAAGTATCTCTCAACTTCAAGAACGAGGGGCCATATAAGTGCTCTGCTCCGGAGCTTAATATAATTTGAGACGACTGCTGCTCTTGCATAGCTGAAAACGTTTCTTTTATTATTATTATTAACAAGCTTAGATACACACAGCAGTGCGCTGCTATACTCTTCCATATGAAGGATTATAGAGTATAGATCAAGAGCTAGTCATGAGATCATTTAATATCTCATCTCAAGATGGTTAGTCTCATCCGGAATGAGAGACGGTGAAGTGCGGGTGTAATCCAGCAGCTTGTACTAGCCAACTCTGGCTACAGCACCACGATATCTTGTAATAGAGTTACAGAGCTCACTGACTCAAGTCACATATACATGGAAACAAAAAATTACTGTCTGGAGCTCTTTCGTCCCACCAACACAACAAAATGCTTACAGCAATGAAGTCCTGGGTTCGATTCCCGTGCAGGATAGAGAGGGGGTATAGCACGTTTCCTTTCATCTAATCTACCTTTTCACTTAGCAAGAAATAGGTACCTGTGAGCTAGATAACTATTGTGGTGTGCACCCTGGGGAAGGCCAGTTGCTGGCCATGGGCACCCTCGAGAATGGAAACCAAGGTTCTTCACTCGTCGAACCCGGGACCAGCGGGTCGGTAGCTAAGACTCCCACACCAGTTCCACCGGTCGTGTACTTGCTCCATCACTCACAAGAGAGAGAAAGCAGTAACAATAGCTTTAATTAAATGAATATTGTTAAAGTATTAAGTTACAATCGCACTGAAGAAGTCACATTAATGTGGTAGACACAAACGTCCCGCCCTAAACGCGTGTAAACAAACTGGCGACGTTTCGGTCCGTGTTGAAGTCCTTGTGTGCCGACGTTTCGGTCCGTGTTGAAGTCCTTGTGTGCCGACGTTTCGGTCCGTGTTGAAGTCCTTGTGTGCCGACGTTTCGGTCCGTGTTGAAGTTCTTGTGTGCCGACGTTTCGGTCCGTGTTGAAGTCCTTGTGTGCCGACGTTTCGGTCCGTGTTGAAGTCCTTATGCGTCGACGTTTCGGTCCATCTTGGAGCCGTTATCAAATGGTAAAAAGGATGACTAGGGAGCCTCAATATAAGGACAGAGGGACACCGAAGAGGAAGCAATTAAAACCCTAGCGAAGGTAAGAATTAAGATAACTTCAGAAGGTCTGAGGGCAGCTAAGTTTAGCGCGAAAGGGAAGAGAGAAACAATACTAAAAGGTGAAATGAGATAGAACCAAAGTAGGAACAGAAGAGATAGAAGAACAGCACAGAGCGGCATCTAGTTGTCTGATCACTCTGCTAAGATGATTAGAGTATCTTAACTGTGTGCTGAGAGAGGCAAGAGTCAACAGCAACACAGGCAGACTAAGGTCAGGGTTGGTATTGTGTGTTTGTGTGAGAGCTGACTCAAGACAGCTTGAGTATCTGAGGAGACAGCTCTACTCTGAGGAGAGTAGAGGCAGGAATGATTATTGTGTCTCACGTGTTAATGTCTGTCATCCTGTTGTTGTGGGTCTCACGTGTTAATGTCTGTCATCCTGTTGTTGTGGGTCTCACGTGTTAATGTCTGTCATCCTGTTGTTGTGGGTCTCACGTGTTGATGTCTGTCATCCTGTTGTTGTGGGTCTCACGTGTTGATGTCTGTCATCCTGTTGTTGTGGGTCTCACGTGTTGATGTCTGTCATCCTGTTGTTGTGGGTCTCACGTGTTAATGTCTGTCATCCTGTTGTTGTGGGTCTCACGTGTTGATGTCTGTCATCCTGTTGTTGTGGGTCTCACGTGTTGATGTCTGTCATCCTGTTGTTGTGGGTCTCACGTGTTGATGTCTGTCATCCTGTTGTTGTGGGTCTCACGTGTTAATGTCTGTCATCCTGTTGTTGTGGGTCTCACGTGTTAATGTCTGTCATCCTGTTGTTGTGGGTCTCACGTGTTGATGTCTCACCCTGTTGTTGTAGGTCACACGTGTTGATGTCTGTCACCCTGTTGTTGTGGGTCACACGTGTTGACATCTATCATCCCATTCTTATATAACTACAATGTTCCATCATAATACCCCCAAAGTCGTGGATGTAGTCGCTCACAACACATATCTTTCCAGGACTACAGGAGGACCGTAGCGGAGACAGACGAGGGGACGACTCTAATCCCGTCACCACGATGAAGACCTGATCAACGGGAGCAGTACTGATGATACACGCTGGGCATGGTAGAGGGCAGCGCCACTACGCTGGGTATATGGTAGTGGGCAGCGCCACTACATTGGGTATGGTGGTGGGCAGCGCCAACAGGACGCGCACCACACGCGACGCGCCTCATAAAATGTGATGGAAGGACAAAGTTTTAAGTTACAATCGTGTCGTTGAAGCGACGTGGTGGTGGAGTAATGTCACTGTGTTATCAGAAGTGTGTGATAAGGTAGGCGCCTGCTCCTGCTAGCCGCACAGGAAGCCGCAGGAGCTAGCTAGACCTGCCGGCCCCCACAGCTGTTGGATAGGATGCCGTACCTCGGAGACAGGCAGGAGCCCGAGCATCCCAAGTTCACCACAGACTTCGGCTACGTCAAGAAGCTGCCAGGGGCATTGATCCTGGTGCAGCTGGTTAGTATACTGTATAGCTGGTTAGTACACTGTACAGCTGGTTAGTACACTGTACAGCTGGTTAGTACACTGTGCAGCTGGTTAGTACACTGTACAGCTGGTTAGTACACTGTACAGGTGGTTAGTACACTGTGCAACTGGTTAGTACACTGTGCAACTGGTTAGTACACTGTACAGCTGGTTAGTACACTGTGCAACTGGTTAGTACACTATACAGCTGGTTAGTACACTGTGCAACTAGTTAGTACACTATACAGCTGGTTAGTACACTTGCAGCTAGTTAATACGCTGTGCTGCTCACTCTTAAACCCACCTCCCATCCACAAATTATTGATCACAAGTCGAATTATCGGCAATATCAACTTATTTTGATATCCCTTCATTAGTAGTGACCCCTACTACTTTACGGGAGCCGGTCGGCCGAGCGGACAGCACACATCCTGTGGTCCCGGGTTCGATCCCGGGCGCCGGCGAGAAACAATGGGCAGAGTTTCTTTCACTCTATGCCCCTGTTAGCAGTAAAATAGGTACCTGGGTGTTAGTCAGCTGTCACGGGCTGCTTCCTGGGGGTAGAGACCTGGTCGAGGACCGGGCCGCGGGGACACTAAAGCCCCGAAATCATCTCAAGATAACCTCAAGATAACCGACCCCAGGTAGAGCCCGGGCGCGGACCTGCCCTCAGGCGGGGCGGAGATCGAGTGCACCAGAAGCCTCCCTCTCCTATCTTCCGTTAGGTGTTGGCCTCAAAGACTTACCATCCTCCGTTAGGTGTGGGCCTCAAAGACTTACCATCCTCCGTTAGGTGTGGGCCTCAAAGACTTACCATCCTCCGTTAGGTGTGGGCCTCAAAGACTTACCATCCTCCGTTAGTTGTTGGCCTCAAGGGCTTACCAACCTCCGTTAGGTGTGGGCCTCAAAGACTTACCAACCTCCGTTAGGTGTGGGCCTCAAAGACTTACCAACCTCCGTTAGGTGTTGGCCTCAAAGACTTACCAACCTCCGTTAGGTGTGGGCCTCAAAGGCTTACCAACCTCCGTTAGGTGTGGGCCTCAAAGACTTACCATCTTCCGTTAGGTGTTGGCCTCAAAGACTTACCAACCTCCGTTAGGTGTGGGCCTCAAAGACTTACCAACCTCCGTTAGGTGTGGCCTCAAAGACTTACCAACCTCCGTTAGGTGTGGGCCTCAAAGACTTACCAACCTCCGTTAGGTGTGGGCCTCAAAGACTTACCAACCTCCGTTAGGTGTGGGCCTCAAAGACTTACCAACCTCCGTTAGGTGTGGGCCTCAAAGACTTACCATCTTCCGTTAGGTGTGGGCCTCAAAGACTTACCAACCTCCGTTAGGTGTGGGCCTCAAAGACTTACCAACCTCCGTTAGGTGTGGGCTTCAAAGACTTCCCAACCTTTGGAAGGTTATTACAGCCTCTGACACACAAGTGTATACATACTTTAGTCCTGAACATAGTTCAAGAAGAACGTAAACAATGTATACTCACCGAGGACGGGTATATACGCTCATCGCGTTCATAAATAACAGCAACTCGTTGCTCCTTAACTCTATAGTTTAGTAATAATATAATGTTGATGATTATAATGATAACATAAATAATGATGAGCTAACCTCACACTCAGACCTTGACATAGCACTCAGGAGAGTGGGAAAGACTTGGTGTAAATTCTTTACATCAGTTATGTTCTATGTAATATTACCTCAAACCAGACAAGACAAGGCTGATCTCAGGGATACCCTTATATTACTGAACAAATTTGAAGGTGTTAATCCAGACTTGGGGTCAGATTCACGAAGCAGTTACGCAAGCACCTGTTCTTATAAGGTCCCCCCCCCCAAGGAATAATGGGGGGGGGACGTTTAACATGCCGCCAGCTCCCTGTCCCCATCGAGGCCATTGGAGATGATGGCTCTCCGGTAGAAACATTGGTTGTCAAGGTACCAGTTCAAGGCGCCCTTAGACCCCAATACATTGTTAAACTATTCCAAAGATTTCCAAGGTTTGATAACGTTGCCAGTGACGGACTTGTTGATAACGCTCAACGGAAATGGCAGCCGCTATCTTATCTTCCCTGACCGGAAGTTTGGGAGACTTTGACGTTAGTGGGTGTCACCTTGGGGCTGATGGGTGTCACCTTGGTGTTAGTGGGTGTCACCTTGGTGTTAGTGGGTGTCACCTTGGTGTTAGTGTGTGTCACCTTGGTGTTAGTGGGTGTCACCTTGGTGTTAGTGGGTGTCACCTTGGTGTTAGTGTGTGTCACCTTGGCGTTAGTGGGTGTCACCTTGGGGCTGATGGGTGTCACCTTGGTGTTAGTGTGTGTCACCTTGGGGCTGATGGGTGTCACCTTGGTGTTAGTGGGTGTCACCTTGGTGTTAGTGGGTGTCACCTTGGTGTTAGTGGGTGTCACCTTGGGGCTAATGGGTGTCACCTTGGTGTTAGTGTGTGTCACCTTGGTGTTAGTGTGTGTCACCTTGGTGTTAGTGGGTGTCACCTTGGTGTTAGTGGGTGTCACCTTGGAGCTAATGGGTGTCACCTTGGTGTTAGTGGGTGTCACCTTGGCGTTAGTGGGTGTCACCATGGCGTTAGTGGGTGTCACCTTGGTGTTAGTGGGTGTCACCTTGGTGTTAGTGTGTGTCACCTTGGTGTTAGTGTGTGTCACCTTGGCGTTAGTGGGTGTCACCTTGGGGCTGATGGGTGTCACCTTGGTGTTAGTGTGTGTCACCTTGGTGTTAGTGTGTGTCACCTTGGTGTTAGTGGGTGTCACCTTGGCGTTAGTGGGTGTCACCTTGGTGTTAGTGGGTGTCACCTTGGTGTTAGTGTGTGTCACCTTGGCGTTAGTGGGTGTCACCTTGGGGCTGATGGGTGTCACCTTGGTGTTAGTGTGTGTCACCTTGGTGTTAGTGTGTGTCACCTTGGTGTTAGTGGGTGTCACCTTGGTGTTAGTGGGTGTCACCTTGGGGCTGATGGGTGTCACCTTGGTGTTAGTGGGTGTCACCTTGGGGCTGATGGGTGTCACCTTGGTGTTAGTGTGTGTCACCTTGGTGTTAGTGGGTGTCACCTTGGTGTTAGTGGGTGTCACCTTGGTGTTAGTGGGTGTCACCTTGGTGTTAGTGGGTGTCACCTTGGGGCTAATGGGTGTCACCTTGGTGTTAGTGGGTGTCACCTTGGTGTTAGTGGGTGTCACCTTGGTGTTAGTGGGTGTCACCTTGGGGCTGATGGGTGTCACCTTGGTGTTAGTGTGTGTCACCTTGGTGTTAGTGGGTGTCACCTTGGTGTTAGTGGGTGTCACCTTGGTGTTAGTGGGTGTCACCTTGGTGTTAGTGGGTGTCACCTTGGTGTTAGTGGGTGTCACCTTGGGGCTAATGGGTGTCACCTTGGTGTTAGTGGGTGTCACCTTGGTGTTAGTGGGTGTCACCTTGGTGTTAGTGGGTGTCACCTTGGGGCTAATGGGTGTCACCTTGGTGTTAGTGGGTGTCACCTTGGTGTTAGTGGGTGTCACCTTGGTGTTAGTGGGTGTCACCTTGGGGCTAATGGGTGTCACCTTGGTGTTAGTGGGTGTCACCTTGGTGTTAGTGGGTGTCACCTTGGGGCTAATGGGTGTCACCTTGGTGTTAGTGGGTGTCACCTTGGGGCTAATGGGTGTCACCTTGGTGTTAGTGGGTGTCACCTTGGTGTTAGTGGGTGTCACCTTGGGGCTAATGGGTGTCACCTTGGCGTTAGTGGGTGTCACCTTGGTGTTAGTGGGTGTCACCTTGGCGTTAGTGGGTGTCACCTTGGCGTTAGTGGGTGTCACCTTGGTGTTAGTGGGTGTCACCTTGGTGCTAATGGGTGTCACCTTGGTGTTAGTGGGTGTCACCTTGGTGTTAGTGGGTGTCACCTTGGTGTTAGTGGGTGTCACCTTGGTGCTAGTGGGTGTCACCTTGGTGTTAGTGGGTGTCACCTTGGTGTTAGTGGGTGTCACCTTGGTGTTAGTGGGTGTCACCTTGGTGTTAGTGGGTGTCACCTTGGTGTTAGTGGGTGTCACCTTGGTGTTAGTGGGTGTCACCTTGGTGTTAGTGGGTGTCACCTTGGCGTTAGTGGGTGTCACCTTGGCGTTAGTGGGCGTCACCTTGGTGTTAGTGGGTGTCACCTTGGTGTTAGTGGGTGTCACCTTGGCGTTAGTGGGTGTCACCTTGGCGTTAGTGGGTGTCACCTTGGCGTTAGTGGGTGTCACCTTGGTGTTAGTGGGTGTCACCTTGGTGTTAGTGGGTGTCACCTTGGTGTTAGTGGGTGTCACCTTGGTGTTAGTGGGTGTCACCTTGGTGCTGATGGGTGTCACCTTGGTGCTAGTGGGTGTCACCTTAGTGCTAGTGGGTGTCACCTTGGGGCTGATGGGTGTCACCTTGGTGTTAGTGGGTGTCACCTTGGTGCTGATGGGTGTCACCTTGGTGCTAGTGGGTGTCACCTTGGTGTTAGTGGGTGTCACCTTGGTGTTAGTGGGTGTCACCTTGGTGTTAGTGGGTGTCACCTTGGTGCTGATGGGTGTCACCTTGGTGCTAGTGGGTGTCACCTTAGTGCTAGTGGGTGTCACCTTGGGGCTGATGGGTGTCACCTTGGTGTTAGTGGGTGTCACCTTGGTGCTGATGGGTGTCACCTTGAGTGTCTAGAGTAATCCTGCTGAGGACTAAAACCATCTTTCATGTCCTGAACGCTTGATGAGCTATCGTGAGACGTGACACACAGGCAGCTATCATTCGACACAATACACAAGCAGCTATCGTGACACACAGGCAGCTATCATGCGACACAATACACACGCAGCTATCATGCGACACAATACACAAGCAGCTATCGTGACACTATACACACGCAGCTATCATTCCACACTATACACAAGCAGCTATCGTGACACACAGGCAGCTATCATGCGACACAATACACACGCAGCTATCATGCGACACAATACAAACGCAGCTATCGTGACACTATACACACGCAGCTATCATTCCACACTATACACAAGCAGCTATCGTGACACACAGGCAGCTATCATGCGACACAATACACAAGCAGCTATCATGCGACACAATACACAAGCAGCTGCCTCATCAGATCGACCAAACTCATTGCAGGCTACGATTTGTCCCTCCCCCCCCCCCCTCCCATCCCCCCACACATGCTGAGCCGTGATCGCTGAGACTGTTGTGGTGTTCTCCTGACGCAGGTGTGCACGGGCCTGGGGTTCCTGCTGGCCCTGGGCGGCTCCCTCGTCTGGATGGTCAAGTCTGGCCACGGCTTCTACACCTTCGTCTCCTTCGTCAGCTTCCTGAGCTGCGTGTGTTGGCTGGTCGTTCACGTCTTCCAGTTCTACACGCTCTTCAAGATAGCCATCAACTGGAACTTAGTGGTACGTGGGGTGTTAATACTCCGTTTTAGGCGTGTGTGTTATGTATGGCGGAGGTATGGCGGTGGATTATGCATGGTGTATGGATTAATGTGTTGGGTTTTTGGGTTGCAGGGTTTGGTGTACAATGGTGTCAACGGGTTCCTCATGATGGTGGCCAGCTGCGTTATGGTGGAGGTGGCGTCCGAGGCCAGGGCGCTCAAGGCTGCTGGGGTTAGTACGCCTCTAGGCACGCGTGAGTACACACACACACACACACACACACACACACACACACACACGCACGCACACGCAAATACGTGCACGCAAACACACACACACACAAACACATGCACACACACACACACACACACACACACACACACACACACACACACACACACACACACACACACACACACACACACACACAGATACAAGGTATCATCTGGGAGAGGAAATTCTTCAGGAGTCAGAGAAGGAAAAAGACTTGGGGGTTGATATCACGCCAGACCTGTCTCCTGCAGCACATATCAAGCGGATAACATCAGCGGCATATGCCAGGCTGGCCAACATACGAACGGCATTCAGAAACTTGTGTAAAGAATCATTCAGAACTTTGTATACCACATATGTTAGGCCAATCCTGGAGTATGCAGCCCCAGCATGGAGTCCATATCTAGTCAAGGATAAGACTAAACTGGAAAAGGTTCAAAGGTTTGCCACCAGACTAGTATTCGAGCTGAGAGGTATGAGCTACGAGGAGAGACTACGGGAATTAAACCTCACTTCGCTGGAAGACAGAAGAGTTAGGGGGGACATGATCACCACATTCAAGATTCTCAAGGGAATCGACAAGATTGATAAAGACAGGCTATTTAACACAAGGGCCATACGCACTAGGGGACACAGGTGGAAACTGAGTGTCCAAATGAGCCACAGAGATATTAGAAATAACTTTTTTAGTGTCAGAGTGGTTGACAAATGGAATGCATTAGAAAGTAATGTGGTGGAGGCTGACTCCATACACAGTTTCAAGTGTAGATATGATTGAGCCCAGTAGGCTCGGGAATCTGTACATCAGTTGATTGACAGTTGAGAGGTTGGACCAAAGAGACAAAGCTCAACCCCCGCAAGCACAATTAGGTGAGTACTTACACACATGTGGTGGAGGCTGACTCCATACACAGTTTCAAATGTAGATATGATAGAGCCCAGTAGGCTCAGGAATCTGTACATCAGTTGATTGGCGGTTGAGAGGCTGGACCAAAGAGCCAAAGCTCAACCCCCCTGCAAGCGCAATTAGGTGAGTACAATTAGATGTGTACAGTTGCCTTTGTCACAGTACATGAGACTGCTGTTCAAACTTGAGAGGCAGTCAGGAGTAAGCGGAAAGGCCCTAGCATGGGTAAGGAACTACCTAACAGGAAGGAGCCAGAGAGTAATGTTAAGGGGCGAGAAGTCGGACTGGCGAACAGTAACGAGTGGAGTACCTCAAGGATCGGTACTGGGACCAATTATGTTTCTAATATGCGTGAATGACATGTTTACAGGAGTGGAATCATACATGTCAATGTTTGCGGATGACGCGAAATTAATGAGAAGAGTTGTGACAGATGAGGATTGTAGGATCCTCTAAGAGGACTTGAATAAGCTGCAGAGATGGTCAAAGAAATGGCTACTGGAGTTAAACACGAGCAAATGTAAAGTTATGGAAATGGGATTAGGTGATAGGAGACCAAAGGGACAGTGCTCAATGAAGGGGAACTGCCTACCTGATGTGGTAGGCAAAACACGACGCGAGAAAGAGACCTGGGTGTGGACGTAACACCTAATCTATCTCCTGAGGCACATATAAATAGGATAACGACAGCAGCGTACTCTACACTGGCAAAAGTTAGAACATCATTCGGAAACCTAAGTGAGGAGCCTTTTAGGGCGCTTTACACTGCCTACGTGAGACCAGTCTCAGAGTATGCCGCACCATCATGGAGCCCCCACCTGAAGAAACACATAAGGAAACTGGAAAAGGTTCAGAAGTTTGCAACGAGGCTCGTCCCAAAGTTACGAGGGATGGGATATGAAGAGCATCTGAAGGAACTGAACCTTACGACACTCGAAAAAAGAAGGGGGGGATATGATAGGAACGTATAAAATACTCAGGGGAATTGATAAAGTGGAAATACTAGTAGACGAAATGTTCACACGTAATATTAACAGAACGAGGGAACAAGGATGGAAGCTGGAAACTCAGATGAGTCACAGAGATGTTAGGAAGTTTTCTTTTAGCGTGAGAGTAGTAGGAAAATGGAATGCACTTAAGGAGCAGGTTGTGGAAGCAAATACTATTCATAATTTTAAAACTAGATATGATGGGAAATGAGACAGGAGTCATTGCTGTAAACAACCGATGGCTAGAAAGGCGGGATCCAAGAGCCAATGCTCGATCCTGCAGGCACAAATAGGTGAATACACACACACAAGCAAAGCTATCTGAAGCAAAGGAACTGGACAAAAGGGCATGGAGGAACTTCCGAATAACAGAACACCAGAAAGCAGAGAGAGATACCAGAGAACCAGGAACGAGTATGTTAGTGTGAGAAGAGCAGCTGAGAAAAAGTATGAAAATGATATAGCAAATAAAGTCAAGACCGGACCAAAGCTACTCCACAGTCACATCAGGAGGAAAATAACAGTGAAAGAACAGGTGATAGAACTTAGAACGGGTGAGGACAGGTACACAGAGAATGACAAAGAGGTGTGTGAGGAACTTAACAAGAGGTTCCAGGGGATCTTCACAATAGAACGGGGTGAAGTCACTGTGCTAGGAGAGGTGGTAGTAAATCAGGCAGCCTTGGAAGGGTTCGAAATTACCAAGGATGAGGTCAAGAGGCATCTGTTGGTTCTGGACGAGAGAAAGGCTGTTGGTCCGGACGGAATCTCACCATGGGTACTGAAAGAGTGTGCAGAAACACTTTGCTTACCAATCTCCAAAGTGTACAGTAGGTCACTGGAGACGGGAGACCTACCAGAGCAATAGAAAACGGCTAATATAGTCCCAATATACAAAAATGGTGACAGGCAGGAGGCACTGAACTACAAGCCAGTGTTCTTAACTTGTATACCATGCAAGGTGATGGAGAAGATCATGAGAAAAAACGTAGTAGCACATCTGGAGAGAAGGGACTTCGTGACACATCACCAACATGGGTTCAGGGAAGGTAAATCTTGCCTTACTGGTTTTATAAAATCCTAAGATCAGGTGACAAAGATTAAGCAAGAAAGAGAGGGCTGGGCGGACTGTATTTTCTTGGACTGTCGAAAGCCTTTGACACAGTACCCCATGAAAGGCTGGTGCATAAGTTGGAGAAACAGGCAGGAGTAACTGGTAGGGCGCTCCAGTGGATAAGGGAGTACCTAAGTAATATGAAGAAAGAGTGTTACGGTGAGGGGTGAGACCTCAGATTGGCGTGAAGTCACCAGTGGAGTCCCATAGGGCTCTGTACTCGAACCTATCCTGTTTCTGATATACGTAAATGATCTCCCAGAGGGTATAGACTCATTCCTCTCAATGTTTGCTGAAGATGCCAAAATTATAAGGATTAAGACTGGAGGATTGCTTGAGGCTTCAAGAGGACCTAGAAAAACTGATGGAATGGTCCAACAAATGGTTGTTAGAGTTTAACCCGAACAAATGTTATGTAATGAAGATAGGTGTAGGGAGCAGGAGGCCAGATACAAGGTAATCATTTGGGAGATGAAATTCTTCAAGCATCAGAGAGAAAGATCTGTGGGTTGATATCACGCCAGACCTGTCCCCTGAAGCCTATATCAAGAGGATAACATCAGCGGCATATGCCATGTTGGCCAACATAAGAACGGCCTTTAGAAACTTATGTTTTAGAAATTTGTGTAAGGAATCATTCAGAACCTTGTATACCACATATGTGAGACCAATCCTGGAGTATGCAGCTCCAGCATTGAGTCCATATCTCGTCAAGGATAAGACTAAACTGGAAAAGGTTCAAAGGTTTGCCACCAGACTAGTACCCGAACTAAGGGGCATGAGCCACAAGGAGAGACTACGGGAATTAAACCTCACGTCGCTGGAAGACAGAAGTTAGGTGGGACATAATCACCACATACAAAATTCTAAAAGGAATTGATAGGGTAGATAAAGAGAGCTTATATAACACAAGGGGCACACGCACAAGAGGGCACAGGTGGAAATTGAGTGCCCAAATGAGCCATAGAGACATTAGAAAGATTCTTTTAGTGTCAGAGTGGTTGACAAAAGGAAGTGATGTGGTGGAGGCTGACTCCATACATAGTTTCAAGTGTAGATATGATAGAGCCCAATAGGCTCAGGAACCTGTACACCAGTTGATTGACAGTTGAGAGGCGGGACCAAAGAGCCAGAGCTCTACCCCTGCAAGCACAACTAGGTGAGTACACACACACTATGAGGCCTCGCGGCTGAGTGGACAGCGCTCGGGAGTCGTAGTCCTAAGGGCTCGGGTTCGACTCCCGACCGAGTCTGAAACAAATGAGGGCAGAGTTTCTTCCACCCTGATGTCCCTGTTCACTTAGCAGTAAATAGGTACTTGGTAGTTAGACAGCTGCTACGAGCTGCTTCCTGGGGATGTGTGTGTGTGTTAAACAGAAATATGTAGTAGATATAATAGAGAAAAAAATAGATGGGTTAGAAAAGCGGGGTCCAAGAGCTAATAGCTCGATTCTGCAGATACAAATAGTAAATACAAAATAGTAAATACATACACGCATTCCTGACACCAGCAACTTCAAGAACCAGAGGACACAGATTCAAGTTAGGGAAACAAAGATGTCGAAATAAATATGAGAAAATTTTATATTGCAGAGTGACAGAAGGTTGGAACAAGTTAAGTGAGAAGGTGGTGGAGGCGAAAACCTTTGTACTGGGAAGACGGGACACCTCGAACGTCGCTCTCACCCTGTAACTACACTTAGGCAATTATACACACACACACACACACACACACACACACACACACACACACACACACACACACACACACACACTGGTACTGCTAGCACTGTTGTGGCCAGGCTCCAGCAGCATGGTGTGTGACTGGATTCCTCCTACAGGTGTTTGGGTTCCTGGCCTTCACGGGGTTCCTGGCGGCGCTGGTGTGGGAGGCGCTGCTGTGGCACAAGAACAGGGACTCCGGCGCTGGCTTCTCTAGCGCCTCCGTCGTCAGAGGACTTGATCGACGTAAGTGTCACCACCTCCCATCTTCACTCATCAAATGCCATGTTGACTCATTACTTGTCATCTTGACTCATCACCACCTGTCATGTCGACTTCTTACCACCTGTCATTTTGATGCCTCGCCACCGGGGAGCCGGTCGGCCGAGCGGACAGCACGCTGGACTTGTGATCCTGTGGTCCTGGGTTCGATCCCAGGCGCCGGCGAGAAACATTGGGCAGAGTTTCTTTCACTCTATGCCCCTGTTACCTAGCAGTAAAATAGGTATCTGGGTGTTAGTCAGCTGTCACGGGCTGCTTCCTGGGGGTGGAGGCCTGGTCGAGGACCGGGCCGCGGGGACACTAAAAAGCCCCGAAATCATCTCAAGATAATCTCAAGATAACCTACCATGTTGACTATTCACCACATGCCTAGTTTTCCACCGGTCTCCTGTCTTAATTACTCCTTAAAACTACTGCTTTACTCCTTGCAAGCTGAACTTATAATCCACAGTCGCCTCTCCACGTCTGATCTGGTCCCAAGTGCTGCAAATTTATCATATTTATATCGGAATTAGAGTATCGGAATTTATCATATTTCTGGTTAGAACCTAAGACTAAAGGCCTATTGGACCATTCGAGGCAGTGCCTATTGGACCATACGAGGCAGTGCCTATTGGACCATACGAGGCAGTGCCTATTGGACCATACGAGGCAGCTCCTATTGGACCGTACGAGGGAGCTCCTATTGGACCGTACGAGGGAGCTCCTATTGGACCATACGAGGCAGCTCCTATTGGACCATACGAGGCAGCTCCTATTGGACCATACGAGGCAGCTCCTACTGGACCATACGAGGCAGCTCCTATTGACCATACGAGGCAGCTCCTATTGACCATACGAGGCAGCTCCTATTGGACCATACGAGGCAGCTCCTACTGGACCATACGAGGCAGCTCCTATTGGACCATACGAGGCAGCTCCTATTGGACCATACGAGGCAGCTCCTATTGGACCATACGAGGCAGCTCCTATTGGACCATACGAGGCAGCTCCTACTGGACCATACGAGGCAGCTCCTATTGACCATACGAGGCAGCTCCTATTGACCATACGAGGCAGCTCCTATTGGACCATACGAGGCAGCTCCTACTGGACCATACGAGGCAGCTCCTATTGGACCATACGAGGCAGCTCCTATTGGACCATACGAGGCAGCTCCTATTGGACCATACGAGGCAGCTCCTATTGGACCATACGAGGCAGCTCCTATTGGACCATACGAGGCAGCTCCTATTGGACCATACGAGGCAGCTCCTACTGGACCATACGAGGCAGCTCCTATTGACCATACGAGGCAGCTCCTATTGACCATACGAGGCAGCTCCTATTGGACCATACGAGGCAGCTCCTACTGGACCATACGAGGCAGCTCCTATTGACCATACGAGGCAGCTCCTATTGGACCATACGAGGCAGCTCCTATTGACCATACGAGGCAGCTCCTACTGGACCATACGAGGCAGCTCCTATTGACCATACGAGGCAGCTCCTATTGACCATACGAGGCAGCTCCTACTGGACCATACGAGGCAGCTCCTATTGGCCCATACGCGGCAGCTCCTATTGGACCATACGAGGCAACACATATTGGCCCATACATGGCAACTCCTATTAGTGTCCACTCAAGCTCATTCATACATATGTCTAACCTACGCTTGAAACAATCCAGCGATCACACGTCGTTTTTATTTGACCTGGTAATTTGTTCCATAAATTGCCACTCTGTTTCCCAAACAGTTTTTTTACCCAGATTTTCTTTCCCTAATTAATCACTTACTTTTTACCCAGGTCTTTCCTGAATCTAAATTTTTCCAATTTATATCCACTTCTTCGTGTTGTGGTTTGTGCAACCCGTTCTCGCAAATTCGTAAAGTCAATATTGACTTATTAACTACGTGCATAGGTGATATACTAAACATAATAGATACCCTTAAAAAGATTCATAGAAAACACCGACCTTACCTAACCTTGTTAGTATCTTAAGATAAGCATCTTATTGCTTCGTAATTACAATTATTACTTAACCTATACCTATTATAGGTTAGGTAATAATTGTAATTACGAAGCTATAAGATGCTTATCTTAAGATACTAACAAGGTTAGGTAAGGTCGGTGTTTTCTATGAATCTTTTTAAGGGTATCTATTATGTTAAGTATGTCACCTATGCACATATTTAATAAGTCAATATTGACTTATTAAATTTGCGAGAACGGGTTGGTTTGTGTGGATATATTTCCCATCTGCATCTCTGCGCCACAGAGGCCTATTGGCCCCGTAGCCTGGTGGGTAGCGCGCAGGACTCGTAATTCTGTGGCGCGGGTTCGATTCCCGCACGAGGCAGAAACTAATGGGCAAAGTTTCTTTCACCCTGAATGCCCCTGTTACCTAGCAGTAAATAGGTACCTGGGAGTTAGTCAGGTGTCACGGGCTGCTTGCTGGGGGTGGAGGCCTGGTCTAGGACCGGGCCGCGGGGACACTAAAGCCCCGAAATCATCTCAAGATAACCTCAAGATAACCTCAAGAGGCAGAGGAAACAGTAAGACATTGACGGTAAGGCACAGCAATACCTCAAGAAAGGTGCTTAAAAATATATTCCATGTGTTGTACTCCTGGAGCCGGTCGGCCGAGCGGACAGCACGCTGGACTTGTGATCCTGTGGTCCCGGGTTCGATCTCGAACGCCGGCGAGAAACAATGGGCAGAGTTTCTTTCACCCTATGCCCCTGTTACCTAGCAGTAAAATAGGTACCTGGGTGTTAGTCAGCTGTCACGGGCTGCTTCCTGGGGGTGGAGGCCTGGTCGAGGACCGGGCCGCGGGGACACTAAAGCAGCTTGAAGTTAGTCATCTGTTAGGGGGGTTGTATCCCGGGGAAGGTCAACAGTTGGTCTACGTCAGCCTGGATAAGGTCACCAGGTTTCCTACCCGTGATTGTGGGGAGACCAATCGTCTTGACCTTCTCGTCCAATCCGGGGTCAACCCTCAAAGATTGTTCGCCGAGCAACCAGAAGAAAGAAGATACACTCAAAATCCTGAAAACCGGTGGTAATTAATCGACCGGTTCCTGCCTGTTTATTGGCTGGCACCGTTAGCCTCTCAAAGGTGATTGGTTCCTGCACCATCGACCTCTCTTTCGAGCGTACAAGTGACTAAAATGTTCTGGAAACATCTGCAAGCTAGATGCAAAATCTCTCGTGCAAAATCTCACTGATTTTCAACCGTCTGGCGTCCCTCGAACCACGACCAGTGCCATATTCTTTCCCTGAAAGCTAAATTTCCAGCTTTTCTTGTTCATGAATCTATTTTTCTTGTCTACGTCTAATTTATATAAAGTTAGCAGTTTATTTCGAGTATCGGGACGAGGAATAGTGAGCTTGTCAGGGCGGGATGAGAATATTTCCCGCCTATTTTGAGAATAGGCGGGAAATGTGTATGGATCTTGTGTTGGCATCACTTTATCCTGGCAGCTGACACGCCTGAGAGCGACTGTGTTGACGTGCGCGGGGTGGTGGCCGGCGGCGACGACCACGACGACGACGCCGCCGTGGGCCTCGTCGGCATGAAGGCCAGACCCGTGTCCTCCTTCATGCAGGTGAGTCCTTCACTCATGGTACCCACCGCTGTCAGGTGAGTCCTTCACCCATGGTACCCACCGCTGTCAGGTGAGTCCTTCACTCATGGTACCCACCACTGTCAGGTGAGTCCTTCACTCACGGTACCCACCACTGTCAGGTGAGTCCTTCACTCATGGTACCCACCACTGTCAGGTGAGTCCTTCACTCATGGTACCCACCACTGTCAGGTGAGTCCTTCACTCACGGTACCCACCACTGTCAGGTGAGTCCTTCACTCATGGTACCCACCACTGTCAGGTGAGTCCTTCACTCATGGTACCCACCACTGTCAGGTGAGTCCTTCACTCATGGTACCCACCACTGTCAGGTGAGTCCTTCACTCATGGTACCCACCACTGTCAGGTGAGTCCTTCACTCATGGTACCCACCGCTGTCAGGTGAGTCCTTCACTCATGGTACCCACCGCTGTCAGGTGAGTCCTTCACTCACGGTACCCACCACTGTCAGGTGAGTCCTTCACTCATGGTACCCACCACTGTCAGGTGAGTCCTTCACTCACGGTACCCACCACTGTCAGGTGAGTCCTTCACTCATGGTACCCACCACTGTCAGGTGAGTCCTTCACTCACGGTACCCACCACTGTCAGGTGAGTCCTTCACTCATGGTACCCACCACTGTCAGGTGAGTCCTTCACTCATGGTACCCACCACTGTCAGGTGAGTCCTTCACTCATGGTACTCACCATTGCCACCTAAGTAGTTCGACACATTGTTGACAGTCTTGATTATTGACTTTGTCTAATCAAATATAAAATTACAAAAATGTTACAACGCAAAGATATAAAATAACATGTATTAACGTAAAATGTATAAAAATGCAATATACACATTGCGTATACATGTATTCATAATATATATTTTTGACATAACACACATGCTGCACACTGAATATGTTCTCATTTTTATGAAAAGTTTGAGTATATACCTGTATACCCTCCCCATCAGTATGCATATTCTTGTATGCCCTCCTCAGCAATCTGGGTATACCTGTATACCATCCTCATCAGCCTGAGTATACCTGTTTACCCTCCCCAGCAGCCCGCCCACAACGGGGAGGTGTCGACGCCCATGCTGTACGCTCCGGGTTGGGAGAAGGACAAGGATAGCCAGCCTGGCGCCAGCGACGACTTCGACTCTGATCGCTCTGAGGGGTCCTCCCACTCCTCTGTGCAGGGAGAGTGGCAGACCCCTTCGTGAGCCCAGCCTCAAGCCCCCTTCCTGCTGGGGGAGTGGCAGATCTCTTCATGAGCCCAGCCTCAAGCCCCCTTCCTGCTGGGGGAGTGGCAAACCCCTTCGTGAGCCCAGCCTCAAGCCCCCTTCCTGCAGGGGGAGTGGCAGACCCCTTCGTGAGCCCAGCCTCAAGCCCCCATCCTGCTGACACTATAATTTGAGTTCTATCACTTACCCGCTATAACATTAAAACACAAGTGAATTTTAGTGAACACAAGTGAATTATTCAGTGTGCAAAAGGGAGTGGATTTCAGTTTCATTCAGATAACAACCAGGTGAACTATGGTAAACCTGCATTATAGACATACTAGTAAAGCCATTCAAATTTCACTGTTTTCTATTACGTCGTGTGAACATTCCCCTTAAAAGATAAGTATTTTCTCGATTTGTTGTACAATTTGAATTTGAAAATGTTGTAGAAACCGTTGATGCAACACGTAAATTTGCTGACTTGCAAATGTGAAAGACATTATTAACTACGAATTTCAACGCTGAAATTACAAGAACGTACTGGGGATTCCCGTATATGTCTCTGCCGCCACGCTTTTCTCCTAATGGGAGCTGCCCTAGTGTGAGTCGGCTGTGTTCGTGTGTTTTAATGTATTAGTCGGCTGTGTTCGTGCGTCTCAATGTGTGAGATGGCTGTGTTTGTGCGTTTTAATTAGTTGACTTTTTGCGTTAGCTAAGTAAATATAGATGTTTATCATTGCTACTTGTTATGTATAGATTCTGGACTACTATTACTAATTATTGTTTTCTTGTAACTTGAAATGTTTATATATTAGATAATAAGCCACGTGAACTTCACTATCATATATGTTCAAATGTTTCGCGAGTGATGGTGTATTAAGAGTTAGATTAATATTTAAGAAGTAAATTGATTACGGAGTTTTAAGTGACATGGAAGAATGTTTCCTGAAAAGAGACGAGGCTACAAATTTGTCATGAGTACAAAAAAGACGAGGCTACGGATACAATAGAGGCTAGAACAGAGACGAGGCTACAGACACAGTAGAGGCTACAACAGAGACGAGGCTACGGACACAGTAGAGGCTACAACAGAGACGAGGCTACGGACACAGTAGAGGCTACAACAGAGACGAGGCTACAGACACAGTAGAGGCTAGAACAGAGACGAGGCTACAGACACAGTAGAGGCTACAACAGAGACGAGGCTACGGACACAGTAGAGGCTACAACAGAGACGAGACTACGGACACAGTAGAGGCTACAACAGAGACGAGGCTACAGACACAGTAGAGGCTACAACAGAGACGAGGCTACGGACACAGTAGAGGCTACAACAGAGACGAGGCTACGGACACAGTAGAGGCTACAACAGAGACGAGGCTACGGACACAGTAGAGGCTACAACAGAGACGAGGCTACAGACACAGTAGAGGCTAGAACAGAGACGAGGCTACAGACACAGTAGAGGCTACAACAGAGACGAGGCTACGGACACAGTAGAGGCTACAACAGAGACGAGGCTACGGACACAGTAGAGGCTACAACAGAGACGAGGCTACGGACACGGTAGAGGCTACAACACAGAGACGAGGCTACGGACACAGTAGAGGCTACAACAGAGACGAGGCTACGGACACAGTAGAGGCTACAACAGAGACGAGGCTACAGACACAGTAGAGGCTACAACAGAGACGAGGCTACGGACACAGTAGAGGCTACAACAGAGACGAGGCTACAGACACAGTAGAGGCTACAACAGAGACGAGGCTACAGACACAGTAGAGGCTACAACAGAGACGAGGCTACAAACACAGTAGAGGCTACAACAGAGACGAGGCTACGGACACAGTAGAGGCTACAACAGAGACGAGGCTACGGACACAGTAGAGGCTACAACAGAGACGAGGCTACGGACACAGTAGAGGCTACAACAGAGACGAGGCTACGGACACAGTAGAGGCTACAACAGAGACGAGGCTACGGACACAGTAGAGGCTACAACAGAGACGAGGCTACAGACACAGTAGAGGCTACAACAGAGACGAGGCTACGGACACAGTAGAGGCTACAACAGAGACGAGGCTACGGACACAGTAGAGGCTACAACAGAGACTAGGCTACAAACGACATATAGCAGACGGTGAATAACTCAGTGCATTTATAATTTATATGTGGCTGATATGTGTTCCACACTTTTCATTAGTTTTGCTTTTCAAGGTGTCTATAGTGACTAGATATAAGTGACTATATAACCGAGGGTGTTGAACACTTCGGGGATGCGGCGAGACCCTATATTCAAGTCCTGACAGCGAAGTCGTAACAGCAGCGTCCAGGAAAGTTACAGCCCCGCTCCTGTGCCAGGTAAGTCCACTACGGGCTCACCATAGCCCGTGCTACTTGGAACTTTTTGTTCCCAGTAGCTGAATCTTAAGCAACAACAGCAGCGTCCACTTGGGGCCATATGTGCTGCAAACAAGGCAATTGTCGTGTTTAATAACACTGCCCTAGTAAGCGTTATGTGGCTAGTGTCTGTCTGTGCTCTAGTATCAATAGTATGGTTATTTGTTATCAGTAGGTAATAGAAGTATAGTGTTGATAAATAGAGAGATATATAGAATTTTTGTATAGTCAGTTGTAACTCTTAGGGAAATCTTTGAGGACATAATCCCAAAAGCAAACACACTGCCCTTTGTTGTTGTAACAAAGAAATACTACAGATATTCCTGTGGGGATGGAAGAGGGTTCGTCATACTGCCAGTCTCACTAATGTACTATTCCTTCACCATGTAACATGTAAACCATATATAGATTGTGTGTGTGTATACCCACGCGACTGAGTTCGAGTCTCCGATGGTGCAAGTGAATTAACTGATATATAATGAGTGTGTTGCACTGTGGTGTGGACGGGAGACATCTCCCGTCACGCAGGGTGCAGTCGTACCTCCACAGATCTCCAGTATCAGCTCTTGATACTGGTAATGGCTAAAAAGGGCCACCACTTACGGGCTATTCATGCCCGTGCCACCTTTTGGATGGTTTAATCTTCATCGTAATCTTCAAGGAAGCACCTCAAGGTATCATCAATCTGTGGTGTGTCAGTGGGGGTAAGTGGCCAGGTGACCACGCACATCCACCGCTCAGGTCACGCTGGCTTACCTCATCAAATTAAACAAAGAACATTTGGCTTGGATCTTTCAATAAGAGACCTCTTACTGCATGCTTTCATCTATTTGTACCAGGACACAAGGTCATCATCTGAAGGGGCACCATAATTAATTTTGTCAGGGACAAGCAGCCTGTATATATATATATATATATATATATATATATATATATATATATATATATATATATATATATATATATATATATATATATTCGTTAGGCTATGACATAGTAACAAAAATAAAGCAGGACATGGAAGGTTGGCCGATTCTCTTGCAGAGTCCTGATTCAGGTTTCGAAAGGATTTTCGTATATCTACCAGCGTCCCATATGCTGCCGATGTTATCATATTTATGTGTGCCTCCAGTGTGAGTGTCGGAATTATATCCACTCCCTGTTCCTTCTGTCTGGGACCTATACTATTTATATTTATAAAATATATATTTTATATATATTTTTAAAAGTTGATATGATAGGTCAACAGTTAGTGAATTAGTCAACCGGGGTCCAAGAGTTTAAACTCGATCCTGCAGTCACAAATAGGTGAATACACACACAGTCAAACTTCAGGTTAGTTTAATATACAATGTATAAACTGGTCACTTCAATTTATATTTAACATATTACATAATAAATAACGAAAAATAATATAAATACGATATATAATTCGACAATTTTTATTTTATCTTATACTGTCTCGATGCACCACTGAGAAGGCAAGGTAAGCAGAGGTCGTAGGCTACCTCCTGTACCAGGGGTAGTTCTTCATGCCTTGGTACACAGCTGTATTGTCTGGGATGTAGGAGCCGGACTCTGGGGGCTTGCTGTCCTCGTAGCCTCCTCCCCCGTAGCCTCCTCCATAACTTGTGCTGTGTGACACTGCCGACTTGAGCTAAGAAACAAACACATCACATCAATGGTTGTTAATTCTGACAAACATGAGGTTAATAATCTATTGTGAGAAGACTAGTTGGACAGCTTTACTACAATTGATGACACTATCAAACAGCTTCATTGTGAGTATCAAGCAAAGCAACTTGTTCAAGTTCAAGTATGTTTATTAAGACAAGAAAGAAATACATCTCAAAGGGATAGCGTAGCTTAGGCTATTTCTACCCCCCAAAGCAGCTTGAGCGTGACAGTACGTCAGCTTGAGCGTGACAGTACTTCAGCTTGAGCGTGACAGTACTTCAGCTTGAGCGTGACAGTACTTCAGCTTGAGCGTGACAGTACTTCAGCTTGAGCGTGACAGTACTTCAGCTTGAGCGTGACAGTACTTCAGCTTGAGCGTGACAGTACTTCAGCTTGAGCGTGACAGTACTTCAGCTTGAGCGTGACAGTACTTCAGCTTGAGCGTGACAGTACTTCAGCTTGAGCGTGACAGTACAGCACCTCGAGTGTATTGATAGAATAGGAAGAGCAAGATGAGATACTCACTCCTGGGTATGGATACTCGCCGGGTCCCAGCTTGTCCAGGAACCTACCCGGACCGATCTCGCGGGTCACTTGAAAGTCCCCCAGGTACGGCACGGCCACCCGGAGTCCCAGACGGTTCTCGTAACCTGGTGAGGCAAGATCAAGGTCACGAGGTCAGCTACACAAGGTTGGGGTTACGTACATAAGGTCACGTGGTCACATGTATGAGTAAGTAAGGTCACGTGGTCACATGTATGAGTAAGTAAGGTCACGTGGTCACATGTATGAGTAAATAATGTCATGCGGTCACATATACAAGTCGCTCAAAGTTCAAATATCACGGAGAAGAGGGCCGAAGCTTTGGTGTTAGTGGTACATGAGGTCAGCACCACTATGGGAGCCGGTCGGCCGAGCGGACAGCACGCTGTCAAATGTTGATACTGTTCTTAAAAGATTTCCTAATTTTGCACCCGCAAGATAACGTAAGCTTTTAAGGGTTGATAAATGTTAATCTTCTTGTTTGAGGAGCTGTTCACTTGAGACAGTTAAGCAAGTCCCAGCTGTGTCTGGGTACAAGTGACAGGATGAACAACCCAGCGGGTTTTCTTCCTATTGGGGAGTGTTGTACATTCTGCTATGGCGGTATGTTCACTCACAAGATGAGTGGCGCTGCCCAATAAACTCGCCCCTCGGGGCAAAATTAAAAAAATTAGCACGCTGGGCTTGTGGTCCTGGGTTCGATCCCAAGCGCCGGCGAGAAACAATGGGCAGAGTTTCTTTCATCCTATGCCCCTGTTACCTAGCAGTAAAGTAGGTACCTGGGTGTTAGTCAGCTGTCACGGGCTGCTTCCTGGGGGTGGAGGCCTGGTCGAGGACCGGGCCGCGGGGACACTAAAAGCCCCGAAATTATCTCATGATAGATCTAGTAATTTATTTCACTGTTCATCCACGGGTATCCATCGCTGTTAGAGTTGGTTAGAGAGCCATCGTTTAGATTTTTTAAATTAACACATTTAGGCACATCTGCATTTGTGCAGCTACCCTAGACTATTTGAAGGGGAGTACAGGGTATTAAAAAAAAATAGTTACGTGATGATAAAATCATCCATCAAACAGGTAAACAGTAGTCTGCACTGACAAACTCTAGGTGCATTATGAGGATATCATCATGAACACAAGAGTGAATAAGTTTAGAAAGATCAAACAAAGTAATATCAGTGTGTTGTCTGGTCTGACTGAACAGGAGAGTAACATCTTGTCTTTATATTGCTTGTATGACCAGTACGTTATAATTTGCTCGTTGTAACAACCATATAGTAATATACGATTTAAACCATCGAAATACATTTTTGACTAAATGCGTATCACTATAATTTACTTATGAAATAATTAATCACGCACTGATCTTAGTGCTGAATTTGTATTCTAAACTAGTAATTTTCACTATTTTGAAAACAAATAAAGCACATGATACACTATTTACATCTCAAATTAGTATACAAAAATTACGCGAAGCATCATTAGTATTATGAAAGCAAGTCATAACTCCACGTGTCAAAGAAAACGAAATGTTGACGTAGTAATTCAAGTGAGCGGGTCACTATAACAGGTCCTCATACCAACAACAACAACCCTGTAAACCTATCCAGGTCTCCCAAGGCCAACAGCTGACCTGGCTCAGAATGCACCCCACAACAGTTGCCTATCTCCCGGGTGCCTATTTACCGCCAACAGAAACATCAAATGTAAGTAATTCTTATATACTAGCGCCTTGGCTTTGTTACTGTCTGGTACATCTTGTGTGTTGCCACACTGTGGCCTCGCTGCCTCACACACTGGTGCCATACCCCGTGTCATTATACCTCCAGGTGCCATACCCCGTGTCATTATACCTCCAGGTGCCATACCCCGTGTGGCATTATACCTCCAGGTGCCATAGCCCGTGTGTCATTATACCTCCAGGTGCCATACCCCGTGTGTCATTATACCTCCAGGTGCCATACCCCGTGTGTCATTATACCTCCAGGTGCCATAGCCCGTGTGGCATTATACCTCCAGGTGCCATACCCCGTGTGTCATTATACCTCCAGGTGCCATACCCCGTGTGTCATTATACCTCCAGGTGCCATACCCCGTGTGTCATTATACCTCCAGGTGCCATACCCCGTGTGGCATTATACCTCCAGGTGCCATACCCCCGTGTGTCATTATACCTCCAGGTGCCATACCCCCGTGTATCATTATACCTCCAGGTGCCATACCCCCGTGTATCATTATACCTCCAGGTGCCATACCCCCGTGTGTCATCATACCTCCGCCACTTTCTCGTGTTCCAAAATAGGACAGTTTAAGAATAAATAATAACTAGTTATTGCAACTATTATTTAATTAACAGAATTCTATTTTTAATTATTCCTGCATTAATAAGGTATCCACCCTCCCCCCACACTCCCAAATGATTACTACAAATGACGCCTTCCGAGAGGGGGGGGGGGAAAGCTTGTAAGGCAGGGCTAGGGAGCTAGACCTCGGCTACACAAAGACAATGTGAGTACTGCTTACCTCTGACGATGCGGTCATCGTAACCATATCCGTGGCTGCCTTTACCGCCGCCCAGAGCAGACAACAGCGGCGAGAGAAAGTCCCCCACCGGGATGTGACCGTTCCAGATGGGCTCTGTCAGGAGGATACTGTCAGCCTTGTGGGGGTATGGTGTGGGAGGAATAGCAAGAATTCGTGTGTGTATGTGTATATAATATATATATAATATAAAAGAAAACTAGTTAAAACAAACTATTAAAGGTTCATAAGCATCCCTGGTGAAGCCTCTCTGACGTACACTTTAATATAATCACCACAGGGACTTGAAGTGGATGTATCTGTCCCGAGCCAGAGTACACTCAAGAGTTTTGCTCCGTGTAAGGAAAAAAATATAATTATTTGAATAGCGGGATCCAAGAGCTGATAGCTCGATTCTGCAGACACAAATACAGTAATAAATAAAAACAGTAAATACAGTAACGCAGAGTACATGTGCCCACGTCTACATGTGTACATCGATGTACATGTGTACATCTCCCACGATTAGAGTACACCTACCTTTGACATGAGGGATGTCTATCTCTCCGCTGCCGTACTGGTAGGCTGGCTGGTCGTAGCCTAGGATGTAGTAGCCGTAGGAGGCAGCTCTCTCTATAGCGGGGGTCAACATGCTCAGGATGGAGGCGGATCCTGTGGGGGAAACGTGACTCATATTGATGACCTCCAGGTGTGACGTGACACTGGTAACATGATGATGCTCCTGTCAGCGTTACTGTGTATAATACATGTGCAGGCCAATAGATCAGTACATGTGCAGGTCAGTATATCGGTACATGTGCAGGTCAGTATATCAGTACATGTGCAGGTCAGTATATCAGTACATGTGCAGGCCAATATATCAGTACATGTGCAGGTCAGTATATCAGTACATGTGCAGGTCAGTATATCAGTACATGTGCAGGTCAGTATATCAGTACATGTGCAGGCCAATATATCAGTACATGTGCAGGTCAGTATATCAGTACATGTGCAGGTCAGTATATCAGTACATGTGCAGGCCAATATATCAGTACATGTGCAGGTCAGTATATCAGTACATGTGTGCAGGTCAGTATATCAGTACATGTGCAGGCCAGTATATCAGTACATGTGCAGGCCAATATATCAGTACATGTGCAGGTCAGTATATCAGTACATGTGTGCAGGTCAGTATATCAGTACATGTGCAGGCCAATATATCAGTACATGTGCAGGTCAGTATATCAGTACATGTGCAGGCCAGTATATCAGTACATGTGCAGGCCAATATATCAGTACATGTGCAGGTCAGTATATCAGTACATGTGCAGGCCAATATATCAGTACATGTGCAGGTCAGTATATCAGTACATGTGCAGGCCAGTATATCAGTACATGTGCAGGCCAATATATCAGTACATGTGTGCAGGTCAGTATATCAGTACATGTGCAGGCCAGTATATCAGTACATGTGCAGGCCAGTATATCAGTACATGTGCAGGTCAGTATATCAGTACATGTGCAGGCCAGTATATCAGTACATGTGCAGGCCAATATATCAGTACATGTGCAGGTCAGTATATCAGTACATGTGTGCAGGTCAGTATATCAGTACATGTGCAGGCCAATATATCAGTACATGTGCAGGTCAGTATATCAGTACATGTGCAGGTCAGTATATCAGTACATGTGCAGGTCAGTATATCAGTACATGTGCAGGTCAGTATATCAGTACATGTGTGCAGGTCAGTATATCAGTACATGTGCAGGTCAGTATATCAGTACATGTGCAGGTCAGTATATATCATGATTATATATTATCCTGTTTTATGTATGTATTTATATACAAAGAGGTATATTGGGTTTAGAGAGTACATAGCATTGAAGTTTTTACATTCTTGTAAATCCTTGATATTAATTAAAGAACGAATATTTTCCCACTCGGACTCGAACACAAGTCAGAACACAAAACAATGGGTATGAGTTGGATAAGTTTATATTTAGAAAAGCCGTGGGTAAATACGGGTAAATACACGCATAGTGTTTCGGGCAGGTCCCTAATCTAACAGATAATTTTAAGTATGTCATTTCTAGCAAAATTGAAGAAAGGTTAACAGATACATTGTAAGAAAATTTGACAAAGATTAGTAGGTACATTAAAGCACAATCTGAGGCTTATCAACAGGTACATTGTAGCATAATTTGAGGATTATTTCAAGGTATAATGCAGTAAAACATGCGTTCAATATAACAACCATGATATGAGATGATAGCAATGATTACAATGGTAAAGTTGTATGGCTTAGGTACATATATTGGGGGACTTGGATAACACTAGATACAGTGTGAGTTTACAGCATTAGGTAGGAAACTATAAGGATGAAATAGTTTACTAGAAATATAAATAGTTTTAGGCTGTCATACTGGCTTCTTGCTTTCTCCCCATGCCTTATCTTCACCTTACCTTAAACATTTTCATAAAGTGGTAAATGTTTTTAACGAGAATCAGAGATACAGACATACAGACAGACGAGACAGATATACAGACAGACGGAGAGAGAGAGAGAGGGGGGGGGGGGGGCATGCGTGCAGAAGCCTCATAACTCAGGTCAGTTGCAGGCACACTTGGGATATGGCTGGCCTGCTGCTGCTCCTATATATAATACCCGCTCATAGCTATTCTAATTCCTTAAAGAAAGGGAAAAATGTGTATGTGTATTCACCTAATTGTGCTTGCGGGGGTTGAGCTTTGGCTCTTTGGTCCCGCCTCTCAACTGTCAATCAACTGGTGTACAGGTTCCTGAGCCTACTGGGCTCTATCATATCCACATTTAAAACTGTGTATGGAGTCAGCCTCCACCACATCACTGCCTAATGTATTCCATTTACTAACTATTCTGACGCTGAAAAAATTCTTGCTAATGTCTCTGTGGCTCATTTGGGTACTAAGTTGTGTGTGTGTGTATACTCACATATTTGTACTTGCGGGGGTTGAGCTTTGGCTCTTTGGTCCCGCCTCTCAACTGTCAATTAACAGTGTGTGTGTGTGTGTGTGTGTGTGTGTGTGTGTGTGTGTGTGTGTGTGTGTGTGTGTGTGTGTGTGTGTGTGTGCGCGTGTGTGCGTGCCTTAAAACCCCCACAACTTGTGCCCATGACTGGGAAAGGGAACCCCTGCAGCGACCCGTGAAAACTTTCCCCATTTCATCTAATGAGTATTTTCCAGGGTTGTTGGTTTTATACCTGGCTCGTGTTCCAGGCTCAACACCAGGCAACACTGCTGCTCGTGTTCCAGGCTCAACACCAGGCAACACAGCTGCTCGTGTTCCTGGCACAACACCAGGCAACACTGCTGCTCGTGTTCCAGGCTCAACACCAGGCAACACTGCTGCTCGTGTTCCAGGCTCAACACCAGGCAACACAGCTGCTCGTGTTCCTGGCACAACACCAGGCAACACTGCTGCTCGTGTTCCAGGCTCAACACCAGGCAACACTGCTGCTCGTGTTCCAGGCTCAACACCAGGCAACACTGCTGCTCGTGTTCCTGGCACAACACCAGGCAACACAGCTGCTCGTGTTCCTGGCACAACACCAGGCAACACTGCTGCTCGTGTTCCTGGTTCAACACCAGGCAACACTGCTGCTCGTGTTCCAGGCTCAACACCAGGCAACACTGCTGCTCGTGTTCCTGGTTCAACACCAGGCAACACTGCTGCTCGTGTTCCAGGCTCAACACCAGGCAACACTGCTCCTCGTGTTCCTGGTTCAACACCAGGCAACACTGCTGCTCGTGTTCCAGGCTCAACACCAGGCAACACTGCTGCTCGTGTTCCTGGTTCAACACCAGGCAACACTGCTGCTCGTGTTCCAGGCTCAACACCAGGCAACACAGCTGCTCGTGTTCTAGGCTCAACACCAGGCAACACAGCTGCTCGTGTTCCTGGTTCAACACCAGGCAACACAGCTGCTCGTGTTCCAGGCTCAACACCAGGCAACACTGCTGCTCAAGTTCCTGGCACAACACCAGGCAACACTGCTGCTCGTGTTCCTGGTTCAACACCAGGCAACACTGCTGCTCGTGTTCCAGGCTCAACACCAGGCAACACTGCTGCTCGTGTTCCTGGTTCAACACCAGACAACACTGCTGCTCGTGTTCCTGGCTCAACGCCAGGCAACACTACTGATCATGTTCCAGGCTCAACACCAGGCAACACTGCTGCTCGTGTTCCTGGTTCAACACCAGGCAACACTACTGCTCGTGTTCCAGGCACAACACCAGGCAACACTGCTGCTCGTGTTCCAGGCACAACACCAGGCAACACTGCTGCTCGTGTTCCAGGCACAACACCAGGCAACACTGCTGTTCGTGTTCCAGGCACAACACCAGGCAACCTTCCTGGTCACCGTGTATCCCAATATTAACATTAACAAAGAAAATGTTCACTTGTGACCATTTTATGTCAGAAAGAAATGTGTTCCCTAACATTCAGCTATCGCGTACACCAGCTGGTGTTGTGGCTCTAACATGTATGTGGTGTGAGCGGTTATGTAAGGCTTAGCATGTATATGTGTTCCACATATGGGGAACTATATACACACTGGAGTATTCAAGAATAATCAGGTCAGCATCTGGGAGCGCACGGCTGGATAGCCTATGCTCCCCAAACTTTCTCCAGCGGGCAGACATTCCTGTGTCAGGAACCCCAACTTTCCCCTCCCAAACGCCCCCCTTGCCTCCACACCCGCTCCAAACCTGCCTCTATCCACACACCCGCTCCAAACCTGCCTCTCTCTCCACCCGCTCAAAGCCTGCCTCTCTCCACACCCCTTCCATGCCTACCTCTCCAGACCAGTAGGATCTAAGACCTGAGGAAAGTATGCAATGATCTACGTCATCGCTGCACTATAACTGGCTACTGCTCATCGCTAACATATATAAACCAAACGTAATCCAACTCAAACTAATCAAATATAACTTAATCCAGCCTATCCTAGGAGAATAAGAGATAAAACGTTTTATTTAGGATGTTCACAAGGTGTGACGTCACTATGACGTCACAACCTTCATGCCAGTACAGGTTTTGGATCCTACTAGAGTAGGGGAAACTGGTATCTAAAGTTATCTCAGAGTACCTGAGTTTACCTGAGGACGGGGACAGGAAGCCGGCGACTGCCATCGTCATACACAGTACGTGCACTGGTTACCACAGTAAGGCAGGTATACATACACATGGTACCACAGTAAGGCAGGTATACATACACATGGTACGACAATAAGACAGGTATACATACATGTAGTATCGGGGGTGTAACTCAGAGGTAGAGTGCTCGCTTCGCATGTGAGAAGGCCCGGGTTCAATCCCCGGCACCTCCAAGTGTTTGCCACAGGGACGTTAGAAAGAACTTTTTCAGTGTCAGTAGTTAACTGATGGAATGCACTAGGCAGTGATGTGGTGGAGGCTGACTCCATACACAGTTTCAAGTGTAGATATGATAGAGCCCAGTAGGCTCAGGAATCTGTACACCAGTTGATTAACAGTTGAGAGGCGGGACCAAAGAGCCAGAGCTCAACCCCCGCAAGTACAACTAGGTGAGTACAACTAGGTGAGTACACACATGTGGTGAGTGTTGCTTTGTGGCGTGGTTTGTGGGAGGACCTGCTCGTGTTCGTGCCTCAACACCAGGCAACACTGCTGCTCGTGTTCGTGCCTCAACACCAGGCAACACTGCTGCTCGTGTTCGTGCCTCAACACCAGGCAACAAAGTATCTGAACTTATTAAAATGGATGATATTCTGGCGAGACATAAGAATTTTGCACCAAGATTGTAACCTTTTGTTGAATTGTCTGAATGTCTATTGCAAATTGTCTGTGTAGCAAGTCATAAAAGTATTTGTGTATACGTCTGGTAACATACTGCATGTGCAAGGGAAGAAATTTATATATTTATCAATCGCAATGTTTAGTAATAAGTTGATTTTGATGTGTCTATTTATATATATAAACACGTTGTACTGACCGGGGTGAGAATAGCTTGAGCTGCCTCATCCCTGTGTGTGTATTTACACCTCAATAGACTTATTTGAAGTACTAGAGCACAGAGGGCCAGGCGATACTTGGCTTACATTATCATAGGCCTACCTGGTGAAGCACAGACTGTCAGGAGGCACAGAGCGACGAGAGGCGAGTTGCGAGGCATCCCCACGGTGTCCGGGTCTTCTCTCAGCGTCTGTGACACAGGTGCTGTTCCGCTCTCACTTGGGTTCAAGCAACAGATGTTTCTTTAGCTGTCTTAACCGATACTTTAACTCTGTATCATTTCAATTCCACGACGAGTGACTCTCGAAGTGTTCGCTGAAACCTGTGGCTCAATTATGGTTTCACTTTCGGATACACCTAGATGGGGTTTCCACTTTTTGGTAGATCGTTGCTTTGTATAAAGTTGTCACAGGTGCTAGGTCTTCCTTCTTGGTAGCGTCACAGGTGCTAGGTCTTCCCTCTTGGTAGCGTCACAGGTGCTAGCTAGATCTTCCCTCTTGGTAGCGTCACAGGTGCTAGGTCTTCCTTCTTGGTAGCGTCACAGGTGCTAGGTCTTCCCTCTTGGTAGCGTCACAGGTGCTAGGTCTTCCTTCTTGGTAGCGTCACAGGTGCTAGGTCTTCCCTCTTGGTAGCGTCACAGGTGCTAGGTCTTCCTTCTTGGTAGCGTCACAGGTGCTAGATCTTCCCTCTTGGTAGCGTCACAGGTGCTAGCTAGATCTTCCCTCTTGGTAGCGTCACAGGTGCTAGGTCTTCCCTCTTGGTAGCGTCACAGGTGCTAGCTAGATCTTCCCTCTTGGTAGTGTCACAGGTGCTAGGTCTTCCCTCTTGGTAGCGTCACAGGTGCTAGCTAGATCTTCCCTCTTGGTAGCGTCACAGGTGCTAGGTCTTCCCTCTTGGTAGCGTCACAAGCACGAGGTCTTCCCTCTTGGTAGCGTCACAGGTGCTAGCTAGGTCTTCCCTCTTGGTAGCGTCACAGGTGCTAGCTAGGTCTTCCCTCTTGGTAGCGTCACAAGCACGAGGTGGCGTCACACATACAAGGTCCCTCCTCTTGGTAGCGTCTCACATACAAGGTCCCCCCCTCTTGGTAGCGTCACAGGTACAAGGTCCCTCCTCTTAGTTGCGTCACAAGAGTTAGGTCTTCCCCCCTTGGTAGCGTCACACTAACTGTCCAGGTCTGACTGATCTGGAATGTGGAACATCTTGAGGGCCCTCAGGTTACCGGCTAAAGGAATCACTATCTATAGACACTAACTATACATTGGAGGCATAATACAATCTATTAAACTTATATATTAACAATTCTAGTTCCATTAGAAGTGTAAATAATTTGCTTACTTTACGTAGTGACAACAGAAATTATAACAAATACTTTTTTATTCAGGGTATGTCCAAGCGATTTCTCTTTCTTCGCAGAAAACGTTAGAAAGTTAACATGGGTGACTAATAGAAAATGTAATGCATACTTGCATTCATCCTGAACAAGCTGTAGCGGAATTTATTTATGAACTGGAAACCACAACAAATATACCAAGACTTAAAAGGGGTAACATCATCGAATATATAAGGTAAAAGAAACAATTATGCTAATTTTGTTGACCAGACCACACACTAGAAATTGAAGAGACGACGACGTTTCGGTCCGTCCTGGACCATTCTCAAGTCGATTGTGATGAGGACAGGTAGGGACAGGCATTAAATAGGCAAGAGAGAGCTGAGGAGGAAAGTCAGGTGTAGGGGATAGCAGTAATGAGAACCGCAGCAGGCCTATTGGCCCATACGAGGCAGCTCCTATTATAACCACCGAAGGAGATAGTAATAGGAATAAGAAGAGGATAGCAAGGGAGCGTAGAAGACAAGGAACAGAAAAAGGGAGAAGAGAGAATGAAAAGGAAAGAGAAAGAAAGAAATGGAAGGGGGAAAGCTTATGTTAAGTCACGTTTGTTAGAAAGATTAGAGCATTTGAGTATATACTGTGAAAGGGAAGAGTCCACAGCAACAAAGCCAGGACTCAAGTTCATGTTGGGTACATTGTTAATAAGAGCTGATTCTACAAGACGGCGTCTGTGTAGAGTAGAGGCAGGAAAGATTATTTTGGAGGAAGACCAATCAATGGAATGATTAGAATCCCTCACATGGTAGAAGAGAGCATTGTTAGTGTCTGCAGACATAACACTTCTCTTGTGTTCTTTAAGTCTGTCATTCAGTGTACGGCCAGTTTCGCCAAAGTATTGGAGAGGACAAGATGAACAGGAAATAGAGTAGACACCAGCAGCATTAGAAGCAGGAGGAGCAGTGTGAACTAGATTGCTACGAAGTGTGTTAGTTTGTCGAAAGGCGAGTTTAATGTCAAGAGGACGAAAGGTATTGGTAAAAGTTTTGAGTTCAGATATGAAGGGAAGGCATAGTACAGTGCTAGTAGTGTTGGAAGCAGGTTTAGGATGAAAGAAATTTCGTTTAGCTTGAGAGTGGGCACAGTTGATGAAATGCAAAGGATAACCATAGCGAATTATGCTAATTTTTCCCAGTGGAATGAGCCAACGATCGCGATATTGTGAGCTTAATTAATGCCTCGAGCAGACAAGCTTTAGGATTTGTTTTAAGTACATTGGCAAAAATTATACCAGAGGCAAGTTTTATATAGACCAATAGCGCAGTCGATTAGTTTATAATAAAACAATTATTTCTAGGTAGGTTTTGATTATGGGTAATTTATGGACCCCGTAAAGTGCGTGTAGTGGACCCCCGTACTGTGCGTGTAGTGGACCCCCGTACTGTGCGTGTAGTGGACCCCCATACCCGTGATGTGATGATAGCGTCCTGCAGAGTCGAAGGGAAGAGAACTATCAAGAGAAAACGCCAAGCCATTACGATTTTACGGCACTGGGAAGGGGTCAGGACAAAGATTTGGAATGGGACGGGGGGGGGGGAAGGAATGGTGCCCAACCATTTGGACGGTCGGGGATTAAACGCCGACCTGCATGACGCGAGACCGTCGCTCTACCATCCAGCCCAAGTGGTTGAACCTTCGGAGTCGAAGATGACCATAACTTCAATATATCAGGTCGAAGGTATTAGTATGTGTCTTTTTTGTGTGTGGCTTTGTGTCTGTGAATTGTGTCTGTGTGTCAGATTATGAAGGATGAGACCAATCTGGGTGGGGAAGGCTCGTCCCCTCACGGGGCACAAGTGGGTGGGTGTTACTACAGAGGCGAAGGTTGCTCTAGTTTTGCACGGGCGCGTTTCCTCTGGGACTCTGTAGTCTATATTTTCTACCACCTGTGGTGACTTTGCTTTTCCAAGTTGAACGGTCCTGAGAAAGCGACTCCCAAATATTGGGGTTGATGTCCTTAAAATTATTATAATAATTTATTGTGTCAGGGGGACAGGTAGCCAGTTAATGTTAGTCTTATATCGAGGTGCCAACAAGGTTAAACTACTGACCTTGGATGTTGCATGACAGTAGAATGCAACCCCACAACAAACTGACTAACTTCTGGGTACCTATTTACTGCTAGGTAAACAGACGCATTGGGGACATTGACAAAGCTCGAGTGCATGTGGTAATTGCGTAAAATCCTGATTTGTGTCTCGGAGAGGCTGCAGGGTCCAAGTATGGGCAGTAGAACTTCTGGTTGCAACTCTTTTTACCATGTCGTAGTGCAGTCGATTAAGGCAGCGTCTGGGATGCTCTCGGACGTAGGTTCGAACCCTCGTCACGGCCCTTGTGGATTTGTTCATTTGCGCATTAGGTGATAGGAAACGCCCCCAAACCATTTCAGTCCCGCAAGGGATTTCCGATTGCGAGTCGAGGACGAACCCAACTGTGCTACCAAGACCTTCAAAATAGGTACCCGGAAGTTAGGCAACTGTTGTGGGATTGCATCCTGGAGGGGGTCAGTAGTTCAGCCTTGGGGGACCTCGATACGAGCCTAAAGTAGGTATACAGTCTTCCCGTCCCCCGACAAAACTAATTATTATTGCTTACTCATGTGTATTAGAAAATATACTGTACCCAGAGTTAAGTTTGGCACTGCAGGCTAGCAGACTAGACTCGTCGTATACCTTTACCTGAATTTACATGAGGTCCACTAAGACTCTAGTGGCTTCGACGAGGACAGAAAGCCGGCAGCTTGTCCATGCCCCCCCCCCCCAATTGCCCTGAAGATTCTTTCGAGCTGGACTTTAAAATTTAACAGAATTTTGGTATTTACGGCTTTGGCAGGTAGGCGGTTCTGTGGGTTTATAACCCTGTGGGTGAAAAAGCAATCTCCTGTTTTTAATCCTACATTGTGGCTTGTTGAGCTGACCCCGTTGCTCCTTGTTTGTGTCATCTGATATCTTGAAGAAGTTGTCTGGGTCAACAGTCTCCAAATTGTTCAGTATTTTAAAGGTTTCGATGAGATCTTATCTCTTATCTTATCTAGATCCGCCCTGTCATGCCTGGTTTGCAGTGTTGTTAGCCAGCTTTTTTTGTCTGCTAATCAATCTGTGAAATAGGAATATTAGGTGAACTTACATAGCTAGCTAGCTCCTGACCTGATACTCTGATGTAATCCCTCGTACAGAATAGGGTAGCAGCACCCACCTGTGTACCTAAGATTGTTAATTAATTACAAAAAAAAAATCCTATATTTTTCAGTGAATTGACAGTTATCCAGTGAAGCAGTAAATGTAGTAGTCTCGGCCGGAAGGCCAGGCAGTTCCCTGACCTGAAACTTTTCCATGATGCGTGTAAAAGAACCCATGAGCACCACACCAGAAATAAATATATCTTTGATATCCCCCAGAGTCAGACTAATCTGTACAAACACTCCATGCAAAGAAAAGAGACCAGTCTTTGGCACTCACTCCCTGACAAATTAAAAAATGTTCCAACCTATACTTTGTTCAAAAGTAAAAGCCAAAAAGTACCTAATTACATCCTCATAGTTTCCTACCTTGTGTTTCAAACTCGCACTGTTCTTGTACTACCGGGTTCTTGTACTAAAGGGAGCCGGTCGGCCGAGCGGACAGCACGCTGGACTTGTGATCCTGTGGTCCTGGGTTCGATCCCAGGCGCCGGCGAGAAACATTGCCCCTGTTACCTAGCAGTAAATAGGTACCTGGGTGTTAGTCAGCTGTCACGGGCTGCTTCCTGGGGGTGGAGGCCTGGTCGAGGACCGGGCCGCGGGGACACTAAAAGCCCTGAAATCATCTCAAGATAACCTCAAGAAGATAACCCACTTCCCCAATATTAGTACTTATGACTAATTAAGTACTTCATTTTTACTAGTATAATCACCTGTCAATTTATAGTGTTAATATAAAACTTTGCTACAATGTACATTTCACCTTACCTGATGTTAGGTTAAGGACCTGCCCGACACGCTACGCGTGTTAGTGGCTTTGCCAGAATGTAAAAATATCACTAATGTAATCTCGCAAACTCATTGTACCTTCAGATTCAGATGTTTAGATTCAGATGTTTATTCAGGTAAGGTATATACATACAAGTGATGTTACATTAATGGATTGATATATAGATAGAGCTAGTACATACAATGCCTAAAGCCACTATTACGCAATGCGTTTCGGGCAAAAACCTTCTATTACCTTCTTGTAAATAAATTATTATTATTATTATTAGTTCCAGCGGCAGAACCGAGATCTATATGTACGGTCAGCACAATACATGCACTAGACAGTGTGACATTGTATTTCCCAGACTTAGGCTAGGATATCGATATCTATGGCAGGTGGGTGTAGGTGTGCAGGCGAGGAGTCACAATAACGTGGCTAAAGTATGTTGACCAGACCACACACTAGAAGGTGAAGGGACGACGACGTTTCGGTCCGTCCTGGACCATTCTCAAGTCAAATCCACAAGGGCCGTGACGAGGATTTGTTCATTTGATGCATCACGTTAGTGTGATCTCTGTGTGTCATTCTCAAGTCGATTGTCTGCAGGTAATGAATCCCCCCAATTGTGAACATTCACATTGTAAACTATGTGAACAAGAGCCGGGAATACTCTCCGGCACAATATCTGTGATTGACCTGTTATCAGTGATTTCAGACCAAATGGTATGAGGTACTTTGAGCTCTGTAAGTACTTCATACATTGAGGAATATTGCAATATATTCTTGAAATATTATTACAGATTACAAGGTATTAATAATAATTTAATTACATAATTTAATTAATTAATTTAATGAATAATTTTATTAATAAATAATTACACAAGATATTCTTGTGCTGTAATAATAATAATATTAATAATAATATTATTAATAATTTATTCACAAGAAGGTACAATGGGTTGGTGAGATTACATAAGATTGTTAGTTGTATATTCTTGCAAAGCCACTAACACGCACAGCGTTTCGGGCAAGTCCTTAATCTAACACACTGTATCTGGTTAGATGAAATGGTACATTGTAGCAAGGTTTTATATCAACAAATAACTACAATGTATGGCTAACTGTATGGCTAACCGTCCTGTGAGATGGGGATATTAGATGAACTTATAGATAGTTTTGTTTTTTATCTACACTTGTGTAATCTTCCGTATAGAATAGGGAAGCAGCACATTGCTGTATTCACCTAGTTGTGTTTGCGGGGGTTGAGCTCTGATCTTTCGGCCCGCCTCTCAACTGTCAATCAATCAACTATTACTGTCTACTAATTCTTTTTCCACGCACAC